CGCTGCGCGGGCCGGTCAGTGCTCAGCCGTCACGGGCAGGCGGATCCTGGGGCTCCACGGGGCAGCAGCGCAGAATCCAGGTGAGGGGAAGAAGAGCCAGGGTAGGAGGCAGAGCCGTGAGGAGTGCATTCCCTAAGAACAAGAGGTGGCTTCATTGCCCGTGCTATAAAGCACCCCTTCAAGTACAGGAAACTGTCATTTCAGAGTCTTCCACCCGCTGTGTTCACTGTCCTTGCTCCTGGCACCCTCGCGCCTCCTCCGAGCAGTCCTCTCGGGCGGTCCCTGCCCGTTTGCACATGACCCTGAGCTGAGAGAGCTCCCAGCGTGGGCGGGCTTTGCGAGGTGCTGCCGGCTCTGGGGAAGGAGAGACTCCTTGCTTGTCTTTTGCAGGGGTCTCCAGCCTCTGCTCTGGTTCTGCACCCTGGACGGACACCTGCCCGTCCTTAGCTTCGGGCTCAGGAAAGTCCGTCCTCTGTCAGGACGGGAAATGGTCCTCACTGCAAATCCGTTTGGCTGGATTTCTCCCCTTAAAGCAGACGCTTCACTTCTCCGCGTGGAGAATTCTCTAATTGAAACAAGTCATCTCATGGGGAAGAGAGGACAGTTTTTGCAGTTCTTACTGTGATTCATAAATTGGTTCTGGCTCATCTCGTTTTTCCTTCACCCATGCATCAGACATTTATTGGGTGCCACTGTTTGCCAACATGGTGTTGGACACCGGGTACAAGCTAAAGGAGATGCCCTCTGGCCCTTTAGATACTTAAAACCTAGTTGGACAGTCCCTGAAGTGGCAGGAAATGACAACAGTGTGGGAAGTTATCCCAGACCAAAGAGGGAGCCTCTAGACACTGTGTGTGTGTGTGTGTGTGTGTGTGTGTGTGTGTGATGGACTGAATGTCTTTCCAGATGTCCTGTGTTGAAGCTCCGACCCCCAGTGTGACTGCATTTGGACACAGGGATTTTAGGAGATGGCTAAGGTTAAATGAGGTGTCAGGGTCAGGTCCTCATCCAACAGGATTGGTGGCCCGTGTCTCTCCCCACATGCACAGGTGGAAAGACCATGTCAGCGCACAGCGGGGAGCCCGGAAGGGGGCTCTCACCAGAGCCCAGCGTGCAGGCATCCTGATCTCGGGCTTCCAGCCCCCAGAACTGCGAGAAAATACCTTTCTGTTGTTGAAACCACTCATCTGTGGTATTTTGTGGCAGCCTGAGCAGACTAAGACAGTGTGCGTGTGTTGGGGGGGGAGGGGTGTCCGGGAAAGGTCCTCAGAATCGCTCACCTCCCCTGTCCCTGAAGAACTGCCTGCCTTTGTCCTCAGGCCCTGAAGATAAATGTGTAGGGCTGGCTTCTTGAACGTCCTAAGGTTTCTCAGCAGAAGCTTTTCTTCTGTTGAGTCTGCGATGACTTCACCAGGACTCAGCCACGTCAGCCTAGATACATCAATCCTCTCTCCCAGCAAGTCTCATCAGGGCCCAGCTCAAATCCCACCGCTGCTGCACACTTCCGGCCGTGAAGGAACTGAGCGGTCTCTCCCTGGGAGCGGTTGTAGACCTGACGATGACATTGTCATGTCACCCACAATTCGATGGCTGTTATTCAAATGCCAGGATCACGTCAGTCCAGGCACAGGAAGGAGCGGTAGGCTTGCGTAGAGCCGAGTCCATAAACGTAGTTGCTGCTGCGTGGAGTCAGGTTGGCTGGACCGGGCTGTCGATTACTCTGTGGCCCTGGGAAAAGTCCCAGTCTCTTCGAGCCTTGGTTTCCTCATCTATGCAGTGGTGACGGTGCTTATGTCACACATTTGCTGGCACAGGTAAATGAGGTCGTGTGCAGAGAGTGAGCACCGGCCCGGCCTTAAGCAAGTGCTTAGTGTAGCTTTGGTTGACAAGTTAGAAACAGACAGGTCTCCTCCAGGACCCCAGCTCTCATTTTCGCATTTCCTCCTGCATGACTGTTTACTGAGTAACTTGCCTGATCGTTGACTGGGGAAATAAATCACCTTTGAAGTGGTCTTTTTCCCCCTCTAAGCTCTTTCTCAACACCGGGAAGATAGAAAGTAGAGCAGGGCGGTTAAAGGAGACATGAGAAAAGGAAGGAGGGAGAGAGGCTGAGAAGTCACCGGTACCCTACCAGCTGCTCACCTGAGCCAGCCTCCTGCCAGCTTCTAACCTTAGATACCTGCGGGCCTGAGAGGGGAGGGACCCACAGCTGACCTGCAGGGCAGGGATCTGCTTTAACCAAGGGACTGCCGACAGCGTGGCCCCTGCCCACGGCCGTAAGCTGAAGCCTAGGAGAGCGATCCTTGGGGCTGGATGCCCAGCCTCAGGGCCAGGTCAGAGGAGCAAACTTTTTACCAAGGGCTTGTGAGGGGGTCAGGACAAGAAGCTTATCTGCTGGTCACCCCAGCACATTGGCTCTGGAGAGCTGTGAGCATCCTTGAAGCTTGGAGGAGATCCGCCCCACGCAGCTAGGACAGGAGGGATTGAGGAAGGCATCGCCCCTAAGCTGTGCTGATAGGATTCCTCACCTGGCCTGGTCTGCTAATAACCCCTCCAGAAACATATGCCCCACAGGGACTCAAGTGTGACCTGCTCCCTGGCTTATACAGAGAGATTTGGAAACAGATTGTAGTTCGAAAGGAGTCCCATGAGCTTCAAAAATGACGAGAGAGTCATAGACAAGGAGATAAGACAGGGGTACAGAATTAGAAACCATCAGCAAAATTTCTAAAGATTTCTTAGGGAAGTCATACTTATCCGAGCAAGGTAAGTGGAGAAGGAAAACAGAAAATTGTTCTTCCTCAGATGAAGAGTTAACCATCTTGCCCTGGCTGGTGTGGCTTGGCTGGGCAACATCCTGTGCACCGAAGGTTTGCCTGTTCGATTCCGATCAGGGCACATGCCCAGGTGGTGGGCTCAGTCCCCAGGAGGGGAAGTGCAGGAGGCAGCCGATCAATGTTCTCTCACATCGATGCTTCTCTCCCTGTCTCTCAAAAAAAAAAAAAATCAGTAACTCTTTAAAAAAAAAAAAAGTTAACCATCTTCTCATTTATAAGCCTTCATAGGACTTACCCACAAAGATTAGACAATCCTAGATTATTTTTCAAAAGTCTTATATCAAGAACAGCTTTATTATTTTCAAGTAAAATTCACAATAATAGAATTAGAGTTGACTTAGACCTATGATTATGTCTCATTTTTTGTAACTATTACTCACTGTGTTCTATTTCACATAGACAGTGCAACTGAGGAACCGGAAGGGTTATGTATCAAATCAGTGCAACCAACTGTCCAACCCAAAGAGTGTGTGGGGAACGGGCAGGGTTCCAGTGGCCTGCAGGAGGGGCCTGCCTTGAGACTGCTTCAAAGAGCAGGAACAGACTAATGAGAGGAAATGACAGTTGGGGCCAGGGGGTGGGGGGGAGTCCAGCTCCGTGCAGGAGGGAGCTGCCTAAAAGAACGGGATGCCTGTGAGGGGTGGGTGCCCCAGCACAAGAAGCATTCAAGCTGAGGCAGGTGGCCATCATAGAGACTAGGAAGGAGATGTGAGTTTGCTACCCTGTTCCCAGGTTCTGCACCTGCCAGGGGTCCAGGGTGCCAATGGGGGGAGGAGGGCCCGATGGGTCTAGGCAGTGTGTGGCTGATAGAAATCTACTTTTTAAAAATATTTTTTCTTTATTGATTTTTAGAGAAAAAGGAAGGGAGAAGGAGAGAGAGAGATAGAAACATTGATGAGCAAGACCATCAGTTGGCTGCCTCCTGCATGTCCCCCCACTGGGACATGTCCCACACCCTGGGCATGTGCCTTGACCAGGAATCGAACTGACCACCTCTTGGTGCATGGGCGACACTCAACCACTGAGCCACACCGGCCAGGCCTGATAGAAATCTCCAAGGACCGAGACTCTGCTTCCCCATCAGCCCCGGCTTCTTTCCTTATTTACTCTTCCGGTACATTTTTCTCTCAACTTCCTAAGCCAGTGGTTTTTAACTTTTTTCATCTCGTGGCACACATAAAGTAATTACTAAAATTCTGACCAAAAACAGGTGGAATTTTGATTCGTTCACACCAGACGGCTGCTGCTGTGTAAAGACCGCAGTCCTGAGCCATGCTGAGCTCACGGAACCCTTTGGACCTGATCACCCCTTGAGCTAAGCTTCCTGCCGGTTGAAGGAGCGCTTCACTTCCTTTGCTTTTGAACAGAACCCTTTCCAGTCTCAAGGAGGTGCTCCCTACTTATAGAATTCTGGGATTTTGAGAATGATTCTGATTTTCTTCATGATTCTATAGCCCCTCCTAGGTTTTGCCTTCTAAACTACGACCCTCATTTATTAAACCTTATTCAGAAAGTTTCCCTGCCCCTCACTATATCTTTTCCAGCTCCTTTCATACCTTTGTGAGGTAGGATGTCCTGAATCACATGTGGTTTTTCCAGCACCTGGTTTCCAGCTGTGTGTGTGTTTACCGTGGGAGACAGTGCGGTGTAGATGAAAATGCATGACTTTAGGGGCACAGAAAATCCTGGAGTTTACACTGACTTTATGTAACCAGCCACATTGAACATCAGTTCCCCATTTGCAAAATGGAGATAACAATATGTACCTCAAACATTCGCGAGGATATCAACTTGGCATTTTAGAGCCGAGTACACTGCCTTGCACACGGTGGGCACTGAATAATTTAGAGGAGGAGAAGGAGAAAGCGTAAGCTCCCAATCTTGATGATGCTACCGTGTTAATAGCGAGGGACCTATTTAATGAAACAGGTGGTCATTATTTCGAAGAAGCACTTTTGAACCTCCCTGTAAGATTCAAATTTCAGTTCTCTTGGTCACATTCATTTAAATTGGACCCTTCTTCCATTTTATCATGTATGCAAGAACATTGCATTCTTGCATTCTTAATTACACATTAAATGTATGGCCTTGCACCTTTGCAAACCTAGTGAGTACTATTTGAGAGATACAGAATTAGCTGACCACCTTCTGTTTGATGTGCAGACAGTGTTGGCGCCTCCCGGAAGCCAGGGCTGCAGCCAGAGAGGGGGCAGAAGCGTGCCTCGCCGAGCAGAAGCCTCTCCCGCCGGTCCATCAGCAGGGAGAGGTGGGTGGAGACGCTGGTGGTGGCCGACACGAAGATGGTTGAGTATCATGGGAGCGAGAACGTGGAGTCCTACATTCTCACCATCATGAACATGGTATGTCAGGCTTCCTGGGGGAGGGGCAGCTCGTGAGCATGCCATTAGAAATGTTCCACACTCCAAAAATAAGAGATCTTTTGTTGTTGTTGTCCTTTTAACATAGATCTGTGAATCTGTTCCCTGCTGATGTGATGAAGGATGGACATTCAAGACATATCAGTCTCTTAAAAATGTGTGTCCTAGGAAGATTTGTAATTTATCAGTTACCTTTTCTACTAGGTATTTGTCAAGTGACTCGATCCTTTCAGTATGACTTCACCTCACTGATTTACGTCAGTGAGCAAATGAGTAAATCGAGGCACAAAGAACTAGAACACGACTTCCTCAAGCTAGGTAGAGCTAGAATGCACGAGTTCATGGCTCTGAACGTCCAGCTTCCTTTTGCATTGTCGATGTTTTCTACCTTCCCAGAGACTATTAGTCCTGTCACAATGGAGAAAGATGTTTGTCTCAGTCACTGATAATAAAAGAGAAGGAAGACCCTGGGTCAGGGACAGGGTCAAAGAGAAGAAAGGCGCACTCCCTCAGTGACCTTGGAAAGGTTGTCTTTGAGTTCACACTGTGGACTGGGCCGGGGTGGACCTCAGGCCTCTGCGCTCCAGCAACACTTCTCGACCTATGAGATCCCATTTGTTTTACGTCCATCACCGTGCTGCTTCCCCCACTGTGACATTTGTCCATCATCAGTCCATGTGGGCTCATGGTTTTCCATTTCTGACTGCAGGTCACTGGGCTGTTCCATAACCCGAGCATCGGCAACGCGGTTCACATTGTTGTGGTTCGACTCATCCTCCTTGAAGAGGAAGAGGTAAGGAAGGGGTTCCCTCCACCCTCCTGACCTGCGCCTTTGCAAGCCTCCTTCTTCCTTCAGGAAAACCCTACCGGGCAAGAAAGGAGCCAGAAGCCCCTTGAGAGGAAAATCATGTTCTTGTATTCTTTTCTTGGGAATTAAGTGATGTCAGATTTCTCACCCTGTCCTGCAGGGACTTGCGTGACTTTCTGGTCTTTCCTTCTCTCACCCTTTGCCTTGCTTCCCACCCTCACACTCCGGACAGGTTCAGGAACACACAGGCCCTCTTCAGCCTCGTGGCCCCGCACTTGAGGTTCCCAGAGCCCGGGACACCCCTTTCCTAGCTCTGCTCCTGGCTGGTCCCTCTCACCAGTCAGGCTTCTGTTCCAATGCTGCTGCCTCACAGAGGTCTCAGTGGCCAACCTGCTCACAGCTGGCCCCGCTGGCCATTGTCGCCTCAGGATGCAGCGCATGTCCTCTCACGGTCCATGAGTACTAGTGTCTGCGCTTACTCCTTCCTCGCTGCTTCAGCCGCGTCAGAATGTGAAATCATCAGGGCAGAAACCGTTGATTTTTTTTTTTTTACTATTATTATTCTTGGCTATATCCCTAACACCTAACACTGTCCCTGAGACATAATGAGTGAATAAAGTTAAATTTAATGAACAAATGAACCAGCCAACCTGATGGCATGCCTTTACAGTCTACGAAGCTTAACTAGCTGCCGAAATGTGCGAGGTAGAGGTCATTCGGGTCATCATCAGCGAGAGACCTGAGGTCAAGCCCGAGGCAGGGTTTATTGTTCTCTGGGCAGGAGAAGCCTCCGCATCAGTTAGCAGATTTTAAAAAGAGTAATCTCTAGAGCCTGGATCCTTTTCTTCTTTTCCTTACCACCCCACTAACCGTAGTCATTCAACACATCCTCTGGATATCTTAGAACACTGATGGAAGAATGGTTTCCCTTCCTATGAACCTTTTGTTGAGAAAATTTATCCTGTCTGGCTGGTGTGGCTCAGTGGTTGAGCATTGACCCAGGCACCAAGAGTTCACCGGTTCGATTCCTGGTCACGACACATGCCCAGGTTGTGGGCCCGATCCCCAGTGGGGGGCATGTAGGAGGCGGCCAGTCGATGTTCTCTCTCATCGGTGTTTCTATCTCTCTCTTCCTCTCACTTTCTCTCTCTCTGAAATCAATAAAGGAAAATAAAATAAAATGAAATGAAATAAAATTTATCTCAAACTTCTTTAGAAACTAGGCAACACAGAAATGATGTATCTTTTCAATGACTGACATGGTCTATCTGAGTCTATGGGGGATGTAACTCTATCTGATTGTTATTTACTATTGATTAGGGCCTAGACAAGGTAAAGTCAGGTGTTCACGTGCAGAAAACTGATAGGATACCGATGGCTTTTGTCCAGCAGAGAAGACCACTAAGGAGATTATGGTTTAATTGGTCCGTGAAACGGACTAATTTCTGATTTAGCAGTTTCTGGTGAGCTGATTTAGCAATCCTAGCCCAGCAGTCCTTCCCGCCACTGGCTGTAATTGCGTTAGTTTCGTGTGGCCGCCTTTGAGCCAGCTCTGCCATCTTGCTTGTCTCCTCGTTGCTGAGTTAAATGCATCTTGAGCATGTGCTCACTATATATTTGTATGAGAATTATGTGTGTAACTCTGAAAATTGTCCTTTGATACTTTGGAGGACACATGTTCACTATTGTATAATGGTTGAGCAGATACGTATGCTTAGCCACAGAATATGCAGAAAGATTTACGGTTTTCAGACCAAAAAAGAAGGAGGGTTTTTCTGGGTGTGAGAAAGAAAAACCTTTGTACTCTGCAATCCCACCAGTATTGCAGTAGTAGGACCTCAAAGTGAGGCCCCCAGGCATGGATCAGACCCCATAGAACTCCACAATTCTTCCTTTCCCAGCAAACCAAATCTCCCACCAAATCTTGCAGAGATGGATCCTTGGGGAGAATTTGATTGGCAAGTACCTCCCTGACCCCATCAAATTACATTGTTCTACTTCTTTCCATTCTCATTTTGCAAGTGCAAAGACACACAAGTGATTTGCTACAAAAAAAGCCATGGCTTCCTCTCTCCCACTTGTCAATGTCTTCCTCCTTCAAGCTTCTGTAGAATCTCCAGGTGGTAAAAGGTACAGTATGTGTCAGCAGAGTTGCTAGCTCATTGGAGGGCTGCAGTTCACAGTTCTTTTCCTGACCCCCAGAAATAGCTCAAGCTATTCTTCAGATCCTGACTGATGAAAAGCCCCAGCAACAACAGACAACAACATACAGAAAATGTTTGTCAGTTAAGTGACATGTAAAAACCACTACAGATTTTCATCACATTTTGAGAACAGATTAGGGCAGCCTGACACGATACTTGGTGCATCCAGGGGGCTTTCTCAAAGATGAGGTGGTCCTATTTCAGACCAGCGGAAACTGAAGGGCACAAAGCGTGAGCTGGAAAGGTGTGTCAAGTGCACTTAGACAGCATGGGCCAAGAAATCAGAGAGGCTTCAGATGTGAGCCTCCTTGCTCTCATCCCCATCCTGCCTCTGCCTTGAACCAAGCTCTTGTTTTGGTTTTTAGAACCCTGTTCCTATCCTTCGAACATTTCATTCCCCCTCAAGGACTTGGACACAGATGTGGCCTCTCGTCCTTTCCACTTTGGACCAGTTCATCAGATGGCCTCCCTGCTCTGCTTTTGGGCAGGGTTAGGGATAGGATTAGACTCTTCCCTTCAACTTTTCCTTCTTCAACTCTTGTGAGCAGCTGACATCATGGAAAGTACAAGATTGACAGCCCCACTACCTCCTTGCTGTAAACCTGTGGGAGTTACTCGGCTTGCCTGTGCCTCCGTATCGTTATTTTGTAACACAGGGACGATAACACCTTCTGGGATGGCTGTGAGAACCAAACACGTGAATCTATGTAATAACATAGTATCCGGCTTGTCGAACCCACTCAATAGATGTTGCTTGTTAGTATAATTTTTATGATTCTTACTATCATCACCATCATTTAGGTCCCCAGCAACCCTGTAAACTCATTACTATTATTAGCTAATTTCCCAGATGAGGAAACTGTGACAAAGACCTAGAGGATGAGATCAGGGTCATAAGAGATCGGAGAATTCTTTTAAGAACAGTATAGAGACAATACGGGGATGGGAGAGAGGGAGCTGGGATAAAGCCCGGTGGGCTCCATGTCACTGTGGAATGCAGGGGTGGGACGTAGGGGTGTCAGGCTGGCTCGAGGAGGCTGGCAGGAAGGAGATGAATTCTACCAAAGGGAATGTCCCTCTTGGTCTCAGAGTGAGTTAGTGTTGCGCTCACTTTTGTGAGACTCTGGATGCAGTTAAAAAGCCCGCTAACTGGAAATTCAGGCTGACGATGTCCGCTGCCCCCAGGGGAATTTGTGGGTCTGTAATAACCCATATAACTTCTGTTCTTTCAGGATAAGTGTCAACAACATTAGCACAGAATTTGTAGACTCGTTATTTTTAAAAATCAAGTATCTTTTCCTCTGATAGATGAGTTATTTTTTAAGCACATGGGAAGTTTTCAGGTTAAACTTTTGACTGATTTTTCTCTTCTCTGTCCATTCTCTTTCTTCCAGGCACCTAAGCCTGCCTACCACATGTTCAGATCGTGTATTGGATCAAAAGTTGCTATTAGGATTTTTCAAATGAATCAATATAAGATTTTTTAAATTATTATTATAGAGAAAGCTTAAAAGGGACAGAACAACTTATAATAAAAGCCATGTACTTGCAAAATCATTTTCTATCTCCCATTTGGGCTTATTTGTGTGAGCTATTGTCTCATCTGGATTCTGTGTGAGCTGTTGTCCCATTTGGATTCTGTGTGAGCTGTTGTCCCATTTGGATTCTGTGTGAGCTGTTGTCCCATTTGGATTCTGTGTGAGCTGTTGTCCCATTTGGATATGTGTGTGAGCTGTTGTCCCATTTGGAGATGTGTGTGAGCTGTTGTCCCATTTGGATATGTGTGTGAGCTGTTGTCCCATTTGGAGATGTGTGTGAGCTGTTGTCCCATTTGGATTCTGTGTGAGCTGTTGTCCCATTAAGATATGTGTGTGAGCTGTTGTCCCATTTGGATATGTGTGTGAGCTGTTGTCCCATTTGGAGATGTGTGTGAGCTGTTGTCCCATTTGGATTCTGTGTGAGCTGTTGTCCCATTAAGATATGTGTGTGAGCTGTTGTCCCATTTGGATATGTGTGTGAGCTGTTGTCCCATTTGGAGATGTGTGTGAGCTGTTGTCCCATTTGGATATGTGTGTGAGCTGTTGTCCCATTTGGAGATGTGTGTGAGCTGTTGTCCCATGTGGAGATGTGTGTGAGCTGTTGTCCCATGTGGAGATGTGTGTGAGCTGTTGTCCCATGTGGAGATGTGTGTGAGCTGTTGTCCCATGTGGAGATGTGTGTGAGCTGTTGTCCCATGTGGATATGTGTGTGAGCTGTTGTCCCATCTGGAGATGTGTGTGAGCTGTTGTTGATTTCCTCTAGGGCACCTCCCTGCTCTGTAAGGTCATCTGCTCCGATGAATTGGGAAGGGGAAGTGGGTAGTGAATGGGACTCATTTGAGAAAATGAGGTGAGAAAAAAAATGATGCAAGAACAGAAAGGGAAATCTATTTTTGTTTACAAAGGAAATGGCAGAGAAATCAGTGTGGATGGGGGTGTGTTTTGAAAGCCCAAATAATTGTGAGGTTGTTTTATGGAAACCGTTTAGCATGAGCCTCCCCACGTCCACGGGAGGCCAGACGGGCCTTCTGAAGTGCTTTTGCACCTTGTGCGCGCTTTGGGCTGCACCGTGGTGAGGCACCGCTAATTACTCTTCCCAGTGTGCCCATGGCCAATGCATTCATGAAACTAAATGAGTAAGTGTGGACTTAACCTCTTAGAAGATTTGGAGATTTTGAGGCCGAGGGGACTGGAAAAAGAAATGTGCACAATTAAAACCTCCTGGAAGAGTCATGACATTGAGTTGAAAACAGTAAGGCATCCTGAAGACCGTGTCCCTGAACTTGTGTTACATGCCCCATATCGTAGAGGAAAATTCTACACAGCAGCAGGGTAACGAGCTGCGAGTGATCAGCAACACAGCTGTGTGTGCCGTTGCTTTGTTTGTAAGAGGAACCAACAAAAGCGATAGGGAGAAATCACGGACGCTGAATAGGTTAGAGAGGGGAAGTGAGGAGAGAAAGATATTCTGCGTGGAGGGAGCAGCTCAAAGAAAGCAAGGTAAAAACGTAGCATGGTGTATAGGAATGCGGGGTTGGGGACAAGGGTGATGTAACAGTCTGAACACTGCTGGAGCACAAACTGTGAGATTGCAGATGAAGGGAACGCTGCCTGGAGGCTAGACTTTGAAGGGTCTCGAGCCCTGGATCGTGATATAGGTAGACTTTGGTTTTGACTTGGTAACAGCAAGGGGAATGGAATGAAAGAGAACAAGGAAGAAAGGAGAACATATAAGAGATGCTGCAAGCATGAATCCAAGCATAAAATGAGGAGGGTTTGCGCTAGGGCGTTGGGAGTGAAGATGGAGAGGAGGTGGAATGAGCAGCCCAGGACGGCAGATTGGGGTGCAGGATCTGCCATCCCAATAGGCAGAGGGGAGGAGGCCAATAGGCAGACATTGGTGTTTCTAGATGGGGCAACTGGAATGATGGAGGTTCCTGTAACTAAGCCAGAGGATACAGGAAAACAGCAGGTTAACATGTGGGGAGAGGATTTCAGAGATGCTGAGATGGGGGTAGCAGGGGTGCCATCCAGAAGGAGGTATCCATCAAGAGATTAGGTTCATGAATTTGAACTCTAGGAGAGATTTTTAATGAGAGACAATTTGCAAGTCAACGGCATACAGGTGATTTCCCAAAATAGGACAGTGATCGAGAGTGAACGAAGCAATGAGCCAACAGAAGGGCAGGAAAAGAGCGCATCGAGGGGTCTGAGATGAGATCAGACAGTAAGGGGAGGACAGAGTCGGGGATCTTGGAAGTCGAGGGTCTCTGCCTGTGATTATCTCCTCGCCGAGGGGCGGAGTGAGAGGCGGAGATATAAGCAATGATCATACTCATCCACTGGTGAGTTGCTAAAGCTTTCTAGTTGCTCAAAGCCAAAACAAACTTCAAAGAAGTCATCAATCGTGTGGAAACCACCAGTCCTAGACTAGTGGCTGCAAACCTGGGGTCCAAGCCCTGCTCTGTCAAGGCCTGCTCTGTGACGTGGGAAGGGGCTGCCCCGGTCTGGCCTGGATTTCTCATCGGTTCAAGGAGCGGGTTGGAGGCACAGTTCCTAAGGCCCTTCGGGGAAATGGGCTCTTTCTAGTGCTGGAAACACTGGAAGCAGAGTTTGTGATGCAGCATCTGGAAGAGGACCGTTTTCTCACGACGCTGCGGCGTCTTTGCTGACACTGATGGCTCAGGAACGAGGGAGAGTGGATGCCACCCTCTTATACTTCCCTTCCGCCTGCCTACCTGACCCTGGGAAAGCAGTGATCTCTTTCCTGTTTCTGTAATTTCGTCATTTCAAGAATGTTATAAAATAGAATCGTACAGTGTGCAACCTCTGGAGATTAGATTTTTTCATTCAACATCACTCCCTTGAGATCCAGCTAAACTGTGTGTATGGAGTATATCAACATTCGCTTTTCCTTAAACAGACGCGCATGGTTTGGTGCGTAAGGCCTTCCGAATGGTGAGTCCAGCCAGTGTGCTGAAGCATGTTGCAGGGAGGCCAGTGACCGGTTAGAACCACAGCTTCGTCTAGGGGTCCTCGTTCTTGTCGTCTTTGACTCCGTGTCTGACCCGAGTGAACTTCAGCCAGTTCTTCACTTCTCTGGGGTTTACTTTCCTCTTATTATACAATGAACGGAACAATGCTCTTTACAAATAACGCTGAGAAGATGCAATTAAACTAGAGAATATGTGGGAAGATCTCTGGCATATAGTATATGATTAAGAAATGTTTCCTTTCTTCCTGTTCTTTTCCCCTCCTTCCTTCTCCTTTCCTTATATTTCCCTTTCTTTTCTTTCCTCCCCCTTGCATTTCTGCCGCAGGCCACCTGGCCAGCGTGTCGTGGTGCACTGTGAAGGGCGTGGCTCCTTCACTCTGGCCGGGTTGCTGTTAAACTACAGCTCGCCTACCTGTGTGCCACCAGACAGTTCCCCAGAAGCCCCCCTCCTCGCCCTCCACGATACATCATTTTGCTGGATGTTGTCATGATGAGGATTTTTAAATAATGAAGTCTGTTTTTTCTATTTAAATTCATTATACTGACCGGTTTGGTGCATTTTCTCCAGTGATAAGCCATCTTTCTGTGTTTTCATGGTGGTTAATTAGCATGGGTGGAGGGACCTGGGCGTGTCTCTACAGGGAACTGAAGTCTCTCAGGCCTGGTTGATTTGGGTGTGGGCCTTAGGAAAATACAGACTAGTGGAGAAGCAAGTTCATCATTTGATGTAGAGTGTGATGTCCCAGGGCGGAACCCAGAGCAGTAGACTGAGGTTCCGGTGGGCCAGCGGACGAGTCCTTCTCCAGGTAGCATCCCCCCTGTACCGTGACAGCCTATACAGAGACCCCAAAAAGGGAAGGGAATTTCTCCTTTAAAAATACAAATGAAACGAGTTCCCTAGAGCTAATAGCTCATTTTCCTTCTTTCTCATCTGACAAGTGTTCACCCAGTTAATTTGGATCAAACTCTCACCTCGCATCCCCATTAGCAACAGGGGCCAGATGGATGACCCAGCCCCTGAAACCTACAGCCTGGGGCATCTTCTACAGTATCCTAATTGCCTTCAGACGACAACCAGTGATCCTAACCTTCTGCCCTTCACCCTCAGATGTCAGACCAAGAAGGTTGGTTTGACAGGGAACCACCCAGTGCAACCCCAGCCTTGTAGGAAACCTCATGAAAGGAAGAAGCTTTTTTTGTTGCAAATCTATTTATTTTGCTTTGGAAATAAAAATGCCTCTTTGGAATTGTATTGACTTTGGAAACAGAGAGCCACTGGAAATAGACCTTCAAACAGCTGCTGGTCTTTCTAATTTATTTTTGGTTTTTCTTCCAGGGTTTCATTGCTCTCTGCTCCCCTCCATGTTCTTTCAGTGGAAGTCAGGGGTGTCAGAGTGTTTAGGGCAGGGGTTAGCCCAGAGAAGTAACCTGGCCTCTGCCAAATTCTACCAGATCTCTGAGGCACCCACCCAGGGCCATCTCACCTGGCTGCTTCTGGGGACCGATGTGATGGGCCCCGACCACAGGAACTCACCCGTGCCAATCTCTCCCCCTTCTTTCTCCAGCAAGGACTGAAAATAGTTCACCATGCAGAGAAGACACTGTCCAGCTTCTGTAAGTGGCAGAAGAGCATTAATCCCAAGAGTGACCTCAACCCTGCCCATCATGACGTGGCTGTTCTTCTCACCAGGTACCCCAGAGACCACGGGGGAGCCGGGGGCTGCAGGAGGGCTGGCGGGTGGAAGGGTTGCCAGAGGTTCAAACTCATGGAATTCTCCTGGTCTTTGCTGCTCTTGATCATTGTTAAGGGTCGCTTCCATGATCTGAAGAACTCTTGACTCCCACACCAGCGAGGGAGCAGTTAGCAAACTGCTACATGGGACAAAGTCTCTGTGTTTATAAACTGTCTGCTGGCAACATGCTGGCCTCTTTCCTACGCCAGTGATGGTTTCCTCTTCAAAACCGGCTTCTCTGTGCGGCTTTATAAACAACAGGAAGCTTGTTTGCAGATCCTCATTAAAGACTCTGATTACTTTTAACCATGGGATTTCTGCTCCTTTATTTTATTTATTTAGTTAGTTAGTTAATCCTTGAGGATATTTTTCTATTGGTTTATAGATACAGTGGAAGGGAGGGAGGGAGGAGAGAGAGAGAGAGAGAGAGAGAGAGAGAGAGAGAGAGAGAGAGAAACATTGATGTGAGGGAGACAAGTCAATTTGTTGCCTCCAGCACGACCCCAATGGGCTGGGGATTGAACCTTCAACCCAAGTACATGCATTTGCCCAGGAATCAAACTCAACACCCTTTGGTCCAAGGGCCGATGCTCTAACCACTGAGAAAACTGGCCAGGGCCACCACTTTATTTTTTATTTTAAAAATATTCCTCCAATTTAAAAACATGCAATGATTCTACAGAAATCAGTCCTTGTGACTGATCTCTGAGTGATGTTGAAGACAGAAGATGGGGAGCAGGTCCTCCCCTGAAGAGACAGTGGTTTGCTTAGACCTTTCTACCTTTTGCCCTCATGAAGATACCATTTTGTTTTGACTACTGATAGACCCTGTGGGTCTAATTAGAACCATCAAAACTTCTAGGACTCATATCTGTGAAAAACTGGTGAACTTTCCTGAAACCCAGGCTCTTGCAAGGCTGTTTGCTCATTGATTCAAAAAATATTTATTGAGCACCTACTGTAGACCAGACTATATTTTACTCTAGACAAATGAAGGTCCTACATTAATGGGGGAAGTAATGTCCTTTTGGAAACTTAAGGTCCTTACCTACAAAAACCGTATTCCTACAGTTCTTTTCTTGTCCCCTTTAGCGCTTAGTAAGCACGCAATAAGCAATTATTTAATGGACCTAACTCCCTGCACGGTCAGCACAAGAAGGTTGCAGCTTCGCAATGAGCACCATCCCTCTCTTCTGGCAGCTCCATGCAGACTTAGACTTTTATTTTTTATTTTTTTCCTCCATTGATTGTAAAGAGAGAGGAAGAGAGAGTCCATTGATTTTAGAGAGAGAGGGAGAGAGATATAGAAACATCAATGAGAGAGAACATCAATTGGCCACCTCCTGCATGCCCCCCCCCCCAAGGATTTGGCCCACAAACTGGGCATGTACCCTGACCGGGAATTGAACTGGTGACTCTTTGGTGCATGGGTTGATGCTCAACCGCTGAGCCACACCAGCTGGGCCAGAGCTAGACTTTTTGAATGCAATAGTAAACAATGCATCTAACAGTAGGAGTAGCAAAGTGTTTGGTCGGTCCTACTACAGACCCAGAAATGATTTAGAATGACTGGCTGTGTGTTCCTGGTAGCTCTGGCACAGAGCCGCCCAGCAGTGCCGCTGTCAGTGGGAGTGGGGACTCATGCCTGTGCGTGCTCTGACCTGGTTGTTCCCTCCAACCCACTGTCCCAGCCACTGCCTCCAGGAGAGCTGAGAATTCACGGTGGCTTCCAAAGGCTGGGTCTTTCCCTGGTCCACGTGGACACACAGCGCAGACCATCTGTTGCCAGACAGGGTGTCCGCATAAAGCCTCTGGGCTGAAGAGCAGAAACTGACCGACGCTCAGACTTTGTTGGCGTTTGTGCCAGTCACTCTTGGCAATGAGCTCCTCTCGAACCGAAGAAAACCACATGGTGCCCGGCCGGTGTGGCTCAGTGGTTGAGTGTCAACCCATGCACCAAGGGGTTGCTGGTTCGATTCCCAGTCAGGGGACATGCCCAGGTTGTGGGCCCGATCGATCCCCAGTGGGGGGCATGGAGGAGGCAGCCAACTGATGTTCTCTCTCACTGATGTTTCTATCTCCCTGTCCCTTCCTCTCTCTCTAAAATCAATTAAGAAAAAAAAAGTAAAATACTCCAGAAAACCACATGGCCAACGAATGACTCTTTCAAAACGTCTGTCAGTGACTGGAACGGTCCCTACCAGGACATGGGAACACATTTTTATATTTCAGACCTGTAACTGGGATTTTGTGAGATTCTGGAGTCTTTCCTTCTTTCTTCCGGGGTAGAGAAATAATGAGGTTAATGAGGTTAATGAGGTCCGGGGGAGAGCGAAGATGCCTCTTTCTCCCTCTCTCTGGAGCGGGAGAGAAAACTAATTTGATTTGATCTCTGGATGGGTTTGTTGGACCAATTGCTTTTTCATGAGTAAGAAAAAGTTCTCATATGAGTTTTGAGCACAGACCTCAGAAAAAAACAAAAAAATAGTTCACATTTGAAAGACCCTAGTTACTGCTTGTTGTCCCTTCCTGTTTAAAAGTTCAAATTAATTTCAGTTTTCAATCAACCCTTCTAATCTTTTTAAACAAATACTATAATTTGGCTTCCTGAGATCAAGAGCAAAAGCAACTCAAAACATCTGCTAAAAATTCGCACGTTCCTTAGGTGTTAGTGAGATTCAGGGATCAAGAAGTGAGATCCGAATAATCTTACTGAATTCAGAAATGCTCCGTATAGACAGACGTTTTGACATTTGAAAAATTATTTTAATGACGCTTTTTGGGCCTGTGGAAAGTGCATCACCCCCAGATTTTCCAGGCGCTCCTCTGGCTCTCTGCGCGCCTCCCACATCTCTGTTCTCTTTCAGGAAGGACATCTGTGCGGGTGCCAACCGCCCCTGTGAGACCCTGGGGCTGTCTCACCTGTCGGGGATGTGCCAGCCGCACCGGAGCTGTAACATCAATGAAGACTCGGGCCTCCCTCTGGCTTTTACCATCGCCCACGAGCTCGGACACAGGTAAAGGGCCAAGAAAACGGAGGTGTCTTTGCCATGTTCATGTGTCAATGTCAATCAAAGGAATGGAAGACACCTTCAGTGGGTCACAGGCGGTCAGATTGCAGTGTGGCTTGAAACTCACCCTCCTAAACTTCTGCTTTCTCATCTGTGATGCAGACATAATCACATACTTAATTTTTTTATCCTCACCCGAGTACATTTTTCCTTTTCGTTCAGATAGAGTGGAAGGGGGGGAGAGAGAGAGAAAGAGAGGGGGAAACATTGATGTGAAAGGGACACATCGAGTGGCTGCCTCCCACATGACCCCAACCAGGGCCGGGGACAAACTGCAACCAAGGTACGTGCTCTTAGTGGGAACTGAACCTGTGTCTCTCTGGACCGCGGGCCGACGCTCTAACCGCTGAGCCAAACTGGCCAGGGCCATAATCACACACTTTAAAGATCCGCTGTCTTCTCTGCCTTGACCACTTGTACCATCTACATCACAGAGTCAAAGAGGCCACTGCCATTGTCTGAATTGAAATGGTGAGCAGAAGCAAGGAGATAAGCTTCAACTCAGTTAGTTAATTTAGGAGCAACCATTTAGTTCTTGTGAAATAATAATATTAATATTACTAAAAAGTCACAAACCATAGCATTTTGTGTCCTGTCTTTATGCAGACACTTTGCACTGTGTCATTGAATCATCTCCATGACCTTATGAAGTAGATACTATTGTTAATCTCATTTTACTTATCTGTGCAAGGGAGATTGAAAACTGCTATAAACCTGGAAAGACCGTCAAACAAACGCCAGTTAACAAGAGGTCCAAGCTGTCGCAGAAATGTGTGACTTTGACTAGATGAACTCATTAACAGCAGGTTTCAGCATGTTTGAGGGCAGAAATAAGGAGGATGCTGGATGCTCCAGGCATCAGAGGTCCCATGGAGGAAAGAGCTTAGCTCATTTGTCACCTGGTTTGTTGGCCTGTTTACGAACCACAAATAAGAGTGCATCACACGAATCAGAAGCTCTGAGTGGGGAGCCATGTAAGTGACTGTGCTCCCCGCCTGCCAGCCTGGACCTCCTCCCTCCAGAGAGGGGAGCAGAAGTCTGGAGTCTACTCTGAGTGCGCTCTGGAAAACACGTGGGGTTGGGAAGAACGCTGGAGACTGGGTATCCCAGGCCTGGCCTCTCTGGCCTGGGTTTTCTCACCACTTTTTCAACGCTAATGAAAGTGCTTATTCCGGCTTTTCTATCAACCTACAGTATGGCCTTAGATGATTCCCTTCCCCTCTCTGCACCTGTCTTCTTATCTGTGAAATGCGTAGGTAAAACTAGGCAGTTTCGTAGGTACTGTGATTTCTTTGATCTTTACCAAAAGCCCTAGGAGATCAATGTGATATGTTCCAGTATCCTTGTTGTTACATGCTACTGACTCGGCTTCAATCCTGGCCACCGTGTGATTGAGTGACAACCACAGTGTCCTGTCCTTAACAGCCCAGCCCAGCTCCTCTAGATGTATGGCTATGGCTTCTTTTAGGGAGCTCACCTCTCTCATCTTTGCTCTTCCTCTCTTCTGCTGCCTTCTATTTTTTCCCCAGGAGTATTGTCTTCTCCAAAGAACCCTGCTTTCTCATAATGTGACAAAGTAGGACAGCTTCAATGTTGTCACTTTTGACTCCAGCGTTGTTTCAGGCTTAATTTGCTCTTGGACTCACTTCTTCATCCTGGTGGGCCAGAGTAGCCACAGAGCTCTCCTCCAATGTCAAATGTGCAATGAATCAATGTTTTTCCCATCAGCCTCCTTCACTGTTTAGTTTGCACACATGCACATCATAGTTGGAAATACAAGGGTGTGGATGATCTTTTTTTTTCTTTATTGTTTCTTTATTGATTTTAGAGAGGAAGGGAGAGGGAGAGAGAGATAGAAACATCGATGAGAGAGAACATCAATTGGCTGCCTCCTGCACGCCCCCCCACTGGTGATTGGGCCCACCACCTGGGCATGTGTCCTGACTGGCAATCAAACCGGCGACCTCTTGGTGCCTGGGTCGATGCTCAGCCACTGAGCCACACTGGCCAGGCTATGGATGATCTTAACCTTGGTGTCTAATGACAAATCTGTGCTCTTGGTGATCTTTTCCTAATTTTTCATTGCTGCGCTTCCAAGTTTCCTTAGTTGTCAAAAATTCAAAGAGACGTTAAGTGACTTTCTTATAATTAAACAATGACTGGGGCCAGAATGCTAGGTCTTCAAAAGGCCAGGTCACGGTTGTTGGCATGTTGATAATAAAACTTGGCAAAATGAAAGTTATTCTCACGTGCAGATACATAGGTGTCCTCCACCCTGACACGTAGAGCGGCGCGTCCCCTGCAGCCTCCAGTCGGGTCCTCCTGACCCGCTGGCCCAGCCGCGCCAACGTGACTGGGTCCAGCTGAGGCGGGGACAGAGCTGGAGGGGAACATGCTGTAGGGAGGGAAAAACCTTAGACTGAACAAAATGAGTTTTGGGGGAGCTGATATATATATATTTTCTTTTTAATCCTCATCCGAGGACGTTTTTCCATCTTTTGCACAGATAGAGTGGGAGGGAGAGAGAGGAAGAGAGAGAGAGAGAAACATCGATGTGAAAGGGACACATCGAGTGGCTGCCACCCGCACGACCAACCAGGGCTGGGGACAAACTGCAACCGAAGTACGTGCCCTTAGCGGGAACCGAACCCGGGTCTCTCCGGACCGCAGGCCGACGCTCTAACCGCTGAGCCAAACTGGCCAGGGCGGGAGCTGATATATTTTGAACGTAGGTTTGAATCCACCCAGTTGACAGCATCCAGCCGTGTGGCTTGTTGTACTGGTATAGTCAGCTCCAGAAAAACCATGATTCACGTGCATTTTTAGAAACATGTTTGCATTTTGCTACCTGTTAAGCGGGCGAACGTGTGGAGTGACCTCATGAGCTAAACAGGGCTGGATTTGCAGCCGGCTGGCTGGCATAAAAGCTTCACTGAGGCACATCCTTGCGGCTGGGTGGTAAGAGCTCTGTAGATTAATTCTCCGACTCCTTTGCGAGTTTGGCGTTCATGTGGAATGTGATCTGCAACTGGGCGTAAATCCATAACTTCATAAGGCATTGAAAAATACAAAAATTATCTAAATCCCCCAAGGACTATTCTCTGCGACAGTTGCTAATGTTGAAGAGGACATTTTATTGAAGTTGGATATGTGTTTCTGTGTCCGAGGGCTAAATTTCACTGTCAGAGTAAAAAGTCATAATTCCCTCTGTTCAGATTTGGAAATCGGAGCCATATCTCTGGGTTGTAAGTGTCCAGGGAGCAGAACCCAGTGGAGAGACTCAGGGATCTCCGAAGGCATCTGGGGTGATCCTCTGAGGACTAGGCTTATAAACAACATTCTGAAGTTGCTTCCTTCCCAGGCACCCCATTGCCGTGGGGACAGGTAGGGTCTTCAGGGCCTTTCAAGGCTGCTGCACCTGGTCAGCCCTGGCAGCAGGGGGCCAGGGAGTAGACCGAGTAAAAGACATGGATGAGAATCTGAGATAGGAGCACAGAGACCTGCACAAGTCCTCATTTTGCCCCTCAGTAGCTAGGAGATTTTTGACAAGTCTCAAACGCTACGCTTCCCCATCTAGAAAAGGAAAATAAGGTAGACAATGATAAAAAAAACAGCAACAGAATTTTGCTTCCATTTATGAAGCCCTTCTTCTACGTCAGGCCCCTGGCTAGTGATTTTCAGTCTTTACTGCCTTCAAATCTCACCCTCTGCTGTGATGACTACGCCAGTTCCCAGGAGAGGACAGTGAGGCTGAGCAAGTTGCAGTCACACGATCGTTCAGTGGCAGAGCCAGGATGCCAATCTGGACCAACTTCTTCAGGAAGCCTGCTCTGTTTTTAAAAATCCTCACCTAAGGACACCTTTCCATTGATTTTTCTAGATAGAGTGGAAGGGAGGGAGGGGGGAGGGAGGGAGAGAGAGAGAGAGAGAGAAACATCTATGTGAGAGAGACACATCGAGTGGTTGCCTCCTCCACGACCCTAACCAGGGCCGGGGAGCAAACTTACAACCCAGGTATGTGCCTTTGACTAGGAATTAAACCCAGGACCCTTGGTCCACAGGCTGATGCTCTAACCGCTGAGCCAAACCAGTCAGGGCAGAAAGCCCGCTCTTAACCACTGAACGCTGAGGCCTCCCTGATGTCTGTGATGCTGGAAGAGTTGTGTGTAATACGACAATGAAACCCATCCCCTCAAAGCGTGCGGCCTTGGACGAGGTCTCCCATAGGATTTCCCTGTAATGTGCTCCCTTAAATCACAATGAAAAGGGAGAAGAAAGGTTCTGTTCTCTCGCGCTGTGGTCCCTGCAGCAGGAGAAAGAAGACAGCTCCAGGTAGACTCGGCTCTTCACTTTCTTCTAGGCAGAACCTTTAACATTAGCCACACGACGTCCATGGTGCATGTTTGAGGCAAAGCCTCCCTAGCATGTTCCCTGTGCTTCCCAGTTGAAAATCAGCTCTCCCCCTCCAACTTCAAAGTCCCACCTCGCAAGCAGAAGCCTTCCACACAAAAGTAGCCCTGTGCGCGTGTTTCCACCTTGGGGAGCCTCTGGCTTTCTCCGTTTCATGCCGCCTCCTTGATATTCCTGGACCTTGTGCCTCCCTGCAGCTTTGGCATCCAGCACGATGGGAAAGAAAATGACTGTGAGCCGGTGGGCAGGCACCCGTACATCATGTCGCGGCAGCTCCAGTACAATCCCACCCCGCTGACGTGGTCCAAGTGCAGCAAGGAATACATCACCCGCTTTCTGGAGTGAGTGACCGTGCGTCTCAGATCAGCCCCACCTGGGCCTCTTTAAACGAAGTCACTTTGAGTGTTACGTGAGACCTGGAAAAGTCCCAGTTCCTCCCACAGGTCACCGTGTCGAGGTGACATCCGAAGGAGTGAATTTCACTCTGCTTTCTGACCCTGAGATCTAGGTGGGCTCTGCCCTCCAACCACAGCCAGGTGAACACCCTGTCCCCCTGATTGCTCCTGTCTCAAGGTGGCTCCTTATGAGCTGAGTGTGGGTTAAGTCCTTGGGGACTGGCAGGAACAACCAGGATGTGTCAGCGGTGGTCACCCCAACCCCACTGCGGATAAGATGATGATTCTCTCCTTTTACCGCCGCTTGCATTTCCTAGATCACGTCTGAACTGAGGGAATGGGAGGTGGTTTGGTGTCCTCTTAGACAGCTCCTGCTGTGGGCTGGCGGGCTCTGTGCCTTGCAGCAATACAGTTGTCTTGAACACAGAGAATAAACTAGAAGGGCGGACGCTTCTGTTGAAGGAAAGACTAAAGACGAAGGAAATCGAAGCGTCTGCTCTCATTTCTATTCACTTCTTTTCAGCCGGGGCTTGGGGTTCTGTCTTGATGACCTGCCCCAGAAGAAAGGCTTGAAGTCCAAGGTCATTGCCCCTGGAGTGATCTATGATGTTCACCACCAATGCCAGCTGCAGTATGGCCCCAATGCCACTGTCTGCCAGGAAGTAGAAGTAAGTGTTGGGGATCCTGGTGCCCCTGGTGGGCTCGTGTGGAGCTGGAGAGCTCCACATGCTGAAAGAGGGGCCAGGGGCTTACTTGGAAATCGCAAGATCCAGACAAGGAAATAAAAACTTTCTGTCTATGGCAAGGTGTCCATAAGGCAGATTAACGTTAGGGTAATTCATGTTCTTCGACTCTACCTCCTCGGTGTTCGATGGAGCCAGCAAGCCTTTGCCACTGGGTGGTGGTGAAGAAAATTCTATAGTGATTTTTCAAGAATCAGTTATTCATACCTGGAGACTCCATAGCAAAAAAACTTAATCCCCAACATCTCTCCCGCTCCTGAATCTCCCATCTGGTTGAAGAGCGCCACCAGATACCCCCCCAACACACACATTTCTCAAGTAGTTTCAAAAAATCATAAATCTAACCATGGCTCGTCTCTGATCTTAAGGTCCCCACTGACCACAGGGAAAGTCCAAACGACTTTCACTTCTTAGTAAGCTGGACCTTGACTAGCCTCTGAACTCATGCCCTTCGGTGAGAAAGTATTATTGTTGACACACAGACAAGAAGCAACTCCCGTTGGACCCATGCCGTGTTCTGTGCTCTGTACCCAGTGAGAGGAAAAGGCGAGCTCTCTGCAAGGGATCAGACAGAGAGGAGCTCGGTGGAGGAGGTAGATGGAAACATTTCAGTACAGAGAGTTAGAGACCAAAGAGGAAAGAGAGAAAGACTCTGAGAAGCAAGTAGTAAGTGCTTAGATAGAACAAGCAAAACTGAACAGAGGAGATCAAATTGGTGCAAAAATCCCTTTCCCCTCACTTCCAAGTATCTCTCAACTCTGCCTGTTCCTAGAAGATTGGGCTCCTTCCTTAGAGGCTGGTAGAAGGCCGGCAGGTAGAAGGCCGTCAGGTAGACAGGCCGTCAGGTAGAAGGCTGTCAGGAGAAGGCTGTCAGGTAGAAGGCTGTCAGGTAGAAGGCTGTCAGGTAGACAGGCTGTCAGGTGGAAGGCTGTCAGGAGAAGGCTGTCAGGAGAAGGCTGTCAGGAGAAGGCTGTCAGGAGAAGGCTGTCAGGTAGAAGGCTGTCAGGTAGAAGGCTGTCAGGTAGACAGGCTGTCAGGTAGAAGGCTGTCAGGTAGCAGGCTGTCAGGTAGACAGGCTGTCAGGTAGCAGGCTGGCAGGTAGACAGGCTGTCAGGTAGCAGGCTGGCGGGTAGACAGGCTGTCAGGTAGAAGGCTGTCAGGTAGCAGGCTGGCAGGTAGAAGGCTGTCAGGTAGCAGGCTGGCAGGTAGACAGGCTGTCAGGTAGAAGGCTGTCAGGAGAAGGCTGTCAGGTAGAAGGCTGTCAGGTAGCAGGCTGGCAGGTAGACAGGCTGTCAGGTAGAAGGCTGTCAGGAGAAGGCTGTCAGGTAGAAGGCTGTCAGGTAGAAGGCTGTCAGGTAGAAGGCTGTCAGGTAGACAGGCTGTCAGGTGGAAGGCTGTCAGGAGAAGGCTGTCAGGTAGCAGGCTGTCAGGAGAAGGCTGTCAGGAGAAGGCTGTCAGGTAGAAGGCTGTCAGGTAGAAGGCTGTCAGGTAGCAGGCTGGCAGGTAGAAGGCTGTCAGGTAGCAGGCTGGCAGGTAGAAGGCTGTCAGGTAGCAGGCTGGCAGGTAGACAGGCTGTCAGGTAGAAGGCTGTCAGGTAGCAGGCTGTCAGGTAGACAGGCTGTCAGGTAGAAGGCTGTCAGGAGAAGGCTGTCAGGTAGAAGGCTGTCAGGTAGAAGGCTGTCAGGTAGAAGGCTGTCAGGTAGACAGGCTGTCAGGTGGAAGGCTGTCAGGAGAAGGCTGTCAGGTAGCAGGCTGTCAGGAGAAGGCTGTCAGGAGAAGGCTGTCAGGTAGAAGGCTGTCAGGTAGAAGGCTGTCAGGTGGAAGGCTGTCAGGTAGAAGGCTGTCAGGTAGACAGGCTGTCAGGTGGAAGGCTGTCAGGTAGAAGGCTGTCAGGTAGACAGGCTGTCAGGTAGCAGGCTGGCAGGTAGACAGGCTGTCAGGTAGAAGGCTGGCGGGTAGACAGGCTGTCAGGTAGAAGGCTGGCGGGTAGACAGGCTGTCAGGTAGAAGGCTGGCGGGTAGACAGGCTGTCAGGTAGAAGGCTGGCGGGTAGACAGGCTGTCAGGTAGAAGGCTGTCGGGTAGACAGGCTGGCAGGTAGACAGGCTGTCAGGTAGAAGGCTGTCAGGTAGACAGGCTGTCAGGTAGAAGGCTGTCAGGTAGACAGGCTGGCAGGTAGACAGGCTGGCAGGTAGACAGGCTGTCAGGTAGAAGGCTGTCAGGTAGACAGGCTGGCAGGTAGAAAGGCTGTCAGGTAGAAGGCTGTCAGGTAGAAGGCTGTCAGGTAGCAGGCTGGCAGGTAGAAAGGCTGGCAGGTAGACAGGCTGGCAGGTAGAAGGCTGTCAGGTAGCAGGCTGGCAGGTAGAAAGGCTGGCAGGTAGACAGGCTGGCAGGTAGAAGGCTGTCAGGTAGCAGGCTGGCAGGTAGAAGTCTTTCAGGTAGAAGGCTGTCAGGTAGACAGGCTGTCAGGTAGCAGGCTGGCAGGTAGAAAGGCTGGCAGGTAGACAGGCTGGCAGGTAGAAGGCTGTCAGGTAGCAGGCTGGCAGGTAGAAGTCTTTCAGGTAGAAGGCTGTCAGGTAGACAGACTGGCAGGTAGAAGGCTGGCAGATAGAAGGCTGGCAGGTAGAAGGCTGGGAGGTAGCAGGCTGTCAGGTAGAAGGCTGTCAGGTAGACAGGCTGGCGGGTAGACAGGCTGTCAGGTAGGCAGGCTGGCAGGTAGAAGGCTGGCAGGTAGAAAGGCTGGCAGGTAGACAGGCTGGCAGGTAGAAGGCTGTCAGGTAGACAGGCTGGCAGGTAGAAGGCTGGTAGGTAGAAGGCTCACAGCAAGTTGGCTCCTTTCAGTGATAAGTAAGTAGTTGACGCTTTCTGGATGGAACAGTGAGCAGGCTCAGGTTACAACCACCTTGGCTCTTTATAAACTTCTGTCCAGTTTTTGGATTGGCCTTTATGGCTGGTTTAACCAGTTACCCGGCCTAAGGGCAATGATACTGCACATATAGAAATGACAGTCTCAGCTTTTAGGAAATGGGTTTATCTCCCACTTTATTGCCCAGTATAGTCTACACACCACTGTTCATGAATCACGACAAAGTCCCACTCACGTCTGAACTGAGAGTGCTCGAATAACTTTCCATCGCTCCTGCTCCCTGAGAACCACATTTATTGTGGGTATGTGGGTGGGTGTGCATTTTACCATCACTGTCAAAAAGCTTTAGTGTAAGTTTTGAAAATATAAAAACGCGTGATCTCACGTTTGTTTTCCAGAATGTTTGCCAGACGCTGTGGTGCTTGGTGAAAGGCTTCTGTCGTTCTAAGCTGGACGCGGCTGCGGATGGGACGCGATGTGGCGAGAAGAAGGTACGTGCCCGGCTGAGGCGGGAGGTGGCAGGGCGGTGGGCGCTCAGCTCCAGGGCAGGGCTGGGCAGAGGCCCTGGAGAGCAGCTGTGTCTGGGTGAATGGCGGTCATAGAGTCGACCAGCCGGGGAACGGACTTCCTGCCGCTGCTCCTTTGAGCCTTCACGGGGAACACGGAGAGGGCTGAGCCCAGTTCCACACTTCACTTGCAAAACATCTCTTCCATCTCCTGACGAACTTCCGTGCAGTTTGTGGTCAGTGACGTCTGCTGCACTTGGTTTGACTTTTCCCCCTTCATGTTAAAGATCGGGAAGGGAAAGCCAGTGGTGGCTTCTTTCCAAAGATGATGGGTTTGGGCCACTTGTGATCTTTTCTCATCCTCTCACTGGCTGCATTTCCTGAAGCTCTGTCCACTCTACTAAGCAGGAAAGCTAGACACCCAGGAACTCACGAGATGTTACACATTCTCTCGACTTCCCGAGAACCGGGTAACATGCTGCTCCACAAAGCCGGCCGGGTTTGTTGTGGCCCGAACTTAGGTGTTTAGTGGAAAGTTTGTTTTTTGAGATCCTCACCTGAGGATATTCTATTTTTTCATTGATTTTTAGTTAGAGTGGAAGGGAGGAAGGGAGGGGGAGAGAGAGCAAGAGAGAGAAACATCAACATGAGAGAAACACATAGATTGGCTTCCTCCCACACAACCCCAACCAGGGCTGGGGATCTAACCTGCAACCCAGGCACATGCCCTTGACCGGAAATCGAACCCATAACCTTTTGGTTCACAGGCTGATGCTCACTCACCACTGAGCCAAACCGGCCAGGGCTTAGTGGAAATCTTTATGCAGCTTGAGGATGGCCTGACCCATCCCTGAGATTCTAGAACCTGGTCAGAACAGTGACCAGACTAATGAGAACCAGCAGGGCAGCAGATAAAACATGCCTGAGTCCTCCAGGTAATGTGGCCGTTTCTAACAACCACACTGTATTTTCTTCTGTTTTCCTTTTTGCATGTTCGCCCTCCTAGACTGAGAGTTATTGAAGTATTTCCCTTAAGAGGGAGAGAATGGATATTTTTCTGAACCCCTTGAAAGGCCGGAACTACACACACTGGGTAGAGTTACAGAAAAGGAGAATTTTTTCTTGATACTAGAAAGAACTTCAAATTCTTAACAAGTAGTGTTTTTTTTGGGGGGGGGGGGGGCAATGAATGGACTTTTCCCAGGAGGATAAAGTTATCTGTTGCTGACATTAAATACCCACAGAGGCTGTAAAGAAGTTATCACAGTACCAGTCTGCAAAATGTTTGTTTCCGTCTACAAGATAAGGAGCTCGCGCCAGAAAGCACATCAGTGATGTTATTAAACAACTATGTTGCTGAGCGAACTAGGCTGATCTGCTTTCCTCTCTCCACGAAGCGAGTGGTGTGTGATTTTTACATCCTGCCACGCAGTCTGCCAACCACACTTCGAACACCACTCCTGCTTTGGCTGTATGAAGTTCCCTCAGTTCCTGAAATTCTCTGATGCTGAGGCCCAAGACTCTTGGAGGAAATTCTTTTATGGGTCTTTTGTTCTCCATGTGATGCATGACTGCAGGCCTGCTAGGGGAGTTGGGTTAGACTGCTGGGGATCTCGGCTCAGCCTGCTCTGGGGACCTTCCTGACATACACATCCCTCCTCTTCTGTTTCCAGTGGTGCATGTCTGGCAAGTGTATCACAGTGGGGAAGAAACCAGAGAGCACCCCTGGCGGCTGGGGTCGCTGGTCGCCCTGGTCCCACTGCTCCCGGACCTGTGGGGTTGGAGCCCAGAGCGCCGAGCGGCTCTGCAACAACCCCGAGTGAGTGCAGCCAGTGTATTTGCCTCCTTCCCGAGTGCCAGGAGACCAGGCTGGGCGAGTGTGACGTCCGTGACCTCAGGCCTCCCGAGGGAAATGAAGTGGGCTCCAACGACCAAAGGGACCCTGAAGATTCATAGAGGGTGAAAAAAAAAAGGTGGTTCTGTTGTGTTTCATTTTGTCTTGACACTGGGTTCTGGCTAGAACTTGGATAAATAAGCTGATTCTATCACTTGGAAAATAAGAAGATTTCTTTTAGAGGTACGACCTGTGTGTAAGCCTCTGGGAGATCATACAGTTAATGCCTAGATAAGCCACACTGTCAGGGAGAGACTAGTTAGACCCAAGGTTGCTGATAAGACTCTAGCTTTCTTTCAATCATAACGAATGTACAACTTCACGAAAATGTTTTTCTTCCCTTAGGAAACTAAGAAAACAGCTAGGCACATTTTTGAGGATTATTATTTCATTGTTTTAGGTAAGGATTTGGTAGACCTTAGAGATACATATTAGCCTGTTAAGGTTCCAAGGAAGTTATTTACAAGTGGCTTTCAAACTTTTAATCAAATCGCTTAATTTTTCCTATTTTAAATTTGTATAATGATATATAGATATATATCTATATATGTATAATTCATATATATATGAATTGAATTTAAATTCCCTTATATTTCAAATGTACATTACATTCTTAATTTAATTATTTTCTGGTGTACTAGTTCTCAAGAATAATACTAAAAAAGTATATATATGATGCCTCCTGTAAGTGGAAAATGTATTAAGCTTCTTTTACCTATTTTTATATTAGTCTGCATTGAAGAGTAATAGTCATATTTTTAAAAAGGCAAATGATAAATATTATTACAGTCCCCTCAATATCTCATTTCCAAATCTTACATCTTTTTAAAAACTTATTGTTGACAATATTGCATATGTTCCCCATTTCCCCCACCATGGACCCCCCTACTCAGTCTCCACCACACCCCCTGGTTTCCCCACACTATTGTCTGTGTCCATGGGCTATGCAAATCAGTTCTTTGGTAAATCTCTTCTCATCCTCCCCCCCCCCACACACACTACAACAGCTGTCAGTGTGTCCGACATCCATGCCTCTGGACCTATTTTACTTGTCAGTTTACTTTGTTCATTAGACTCCAAATATAAGTGAGATCATGTGATATTTGTCTTTCTCTGACTGGCTTATTTCACTTAGCATGATAATCCCCATGTCTATCAATGCTGTCACAAAGGTTAAGAGATGTTTCTTTTTTTTTTTTTTTACAGCAGCATAGTATTCCATTGTGTAAATGTACCACAACTTTCTTATCCACTCATCTACTGAGGGGCTATATCTCATACACACACACACACACACACACACACACATCCCATATATAATAAATTTCTAAGGGCTAATAAGTTAATATCTATAAAAAGTTTAATACAGTACTACTATAAAAATTGTCAGTAAATGGTAGTTATAGTTATTATTATAATATTACATCATTTACCACACATAAATGTACACTTGAGGACTTGGACAAAATTGTGTTAAAATCCTACCCTTTGATAAAGTTGCTTTTGTTTAAACATAAAGTTTCTGTGAATTCATAAATATAAAACCATGAATTTTTTATACTTCATTTTTACAGAAAATATTTATTTTATAGTTTATTTCAATGTGATCAGAAAAGTGATTGCCACTGTACCGATCAGGAAATACAGGCGATTTGCTCTGGGACCCATTGGCAATGCTATATACCAACTGTCACCCATCTGTAGCCTTTTGGGGATAATGGTCAGTGACCTGTGGTTATCAAAAAAGGGACACTCCTGTTGGAGGACTGAAGGATGATTCTGCTGGAGCTTCCGGGGGAAAATGGTCCTAATTCCCATCTCGGAGGCCAGGATTTGTCATAGAGTCTCCTCAGTGAGAGACCATGCACGGTCTCAGTGGCTGGTGTGCTTAAGTTCACTGAGAACAAGGCGAGTGGAACAGAGTCACAGATTCAAGTCACAGATTCATGTCAGTGAGTGACAAGTGACCTTGAGACTGTATCCTTGATGTTGGTCAGCTTTCTCGTGAGAACCAGTGGGCCTTGGCTCATGCTCATAAAATGCCCTCAGTGATGTTTGTCAGATGGAGATGAATTGGAGAGAGTCCAGGTCATAGAGTTCCCCTCTATCACAACGAGTAGAAAACCAAGGACGATTCTCTGTACCACCTACAGGAAGTCAATGACTATGAAGTCCCTTGGGCAAAGAATTCTCATTGGCAGTGCCAAGGACAGGAAGCACATACAGTAGGATGATGAAGTTAAGAGGAGAAAGAAATTAATTCTGGCAGCATTGCTTCTGCAAGAATTCACAATGGAGATGCACTTATTTTGTCCTTAAAGCATGGGCAGTATGCTCACCTTTAGAGCAGGGAAGGCTTTCCAGAAGCACAGAAGGAAACACTAAAGATGCCAGCTGGCACTACTGGAGCAGTGTGCCATTGGAGGGGAGGGTGGGAAGTGCAGGTGTTCAAGTGAATTCAGTCAGGAAGGTAAGGGCATTGAAGGCCAAGATCAAGAGGCTGGACTTGATTCTAAGGCCACTGGGTGCCATTCAAGGTTTTTAAACAGGAAACTAAAATAATTTAGGTAATTGTAAAAATTAACCAGATTAGAGCGTGTATAATAGGTTGAGGAAAGAAAGACAGTGTTGAGACAGGAATAGAGATAAGGGTTGGGCAAGTTTGGTGGTTATGGAAATAAAGAGGAAGAAGCAAATATAAACATAAAGCTGATGACCAGGCAACTGACTGACTGTGGGAAGGGGTCAAGCTATTTCAGAATAGACAACTACACCCTTGGGACTGCATGTTCATGGACAACAACACAAACAAAAATATATGAACTTGGAAGAATTTATTTAAAAGTTGAGTTTTGAGGGTAGAGAGGGACATGGCTAAGGAAGAAGTGAGCACGGCCACATGCCGGGGGTGGGGGGAGGGGTGTGTAAAGGAAGATGCTGGCCTTTAAGGAAACTAACAGGACAGCTTATGTGTTTCCCCTGTAGACCAAAGTTTGGAGGAAAGTATTGCACCGGAGAAAGAAAACGTTACCGCCTATGCAACGTCCACCCCTGTCGTCCAGATGCACCGACGTTTCGGCAGATGCAGTGCAGCGAGTTTGACACAGTGCCCTACAAGAATGACTTCTACAGCTGGTTTCCAGTTTTCAATCCAGGTGAGGCGCCGTGACGGTATATTTCAGATCTAAGTCCCCAGCCATGATTGGAAAGCATATGTCAGGGGTCGGTGCCACCCCACAGTTCAACAAGAAGAGAAGTGTACCATTAAGTATTTTATATTTTAGAAGGTAAAAATCACTAGTCTGGTTAAGTTGATCAGTAAATGTTAAAGGCTGAATATGTCCAAGTTCTGTGCTGAGCTCAGTGGGAGATGAAAGAAAAGTGTATCAAAGGTGGTGGCTGACTTTGAACAGCTGAGGTACAACTTAGTGATAAGTGGGGCACGCAGGAATTCAGTAACTGGTACTGAAGAAAGGGCTTGTTGATGAGCTTGTGAAACTGACTGTAATTTTGGGCAGAAATTCAGAAAAGAAGGTCATTGTGCGTTTGGAGTAATTTCAAAGAAGGCTTCCAAGGAAGGAGGTGAATGTCCTTAAGTCTGAAGAGTCTTTCCTCTGGAAGAAGGAAAAGGAAATGCGTGAAAATAGAGTCGGTCACCCCATGTGGGCAGAGAGCAGGACAAGGGAAGATGGATGGCTTCACTCAGCCAGCTCTGGGCCAGAAGGGAACATTCTGCGTGTACAAGGCAGTCTAAGAAGGTCAGAAAGTAAAAGCAAGCATCTAAAGAACGTACATTCGGGGTTGGGGACAAAATAAGTTAGAGAACGGAGCAGCAGCCCCGGCAGTTCTGACCCCAAATCAGGAGCAGTTTCACATTTTCTTCTGAAAATGAAGACTATCACTAATCATTAGCTGTAGACTAACATCAGAAATATCTGTGCTCTTGGTTGTTGTTCCAGCGAGGAATGGCACATAAATATTTTTCGGAGCTAAGGAGATTTGAGACAGGAAGTAAAAAATAACTAACCAAGTTTTTTGTGATTTTAAGTTTCTGAAATTCCAGTGTAACAGCACACAAGAGGACTCATAGATGTTGGACAATGAATGAAAAGTATATATTCGAACTGATATAAAAATGCTATAGTCAGTTTCTTTTGAAAAAAAGACCCTATAGTGTTTTGTCCATTTTAAGTCTCCAAAATACCCAGACAGCTGTCGGTTGTCATGGGCAATGTTTGTTCCTTGCCCCGCACTGGTTAGCATCATTCATGCTCTAGAGGAGCAAGTCGTTTGATTATTGGTACAATTGAGCTTCCTGAGCCAGGCATTTGAATATGAGAAAACTCTTGTATTTACTCATATGGATTAAAAACAAAAACAAAAACGAAAAACTACTGATGAAAATTGCTTATTACCTTTTTTATATTCTGGACATGCTCTATTTTTTTTGAAACTATTTGGGTCCATGATCCTATGACCCTAAATGAGCAGCCTCCCGAAACAAAGGTAGCACAACTGTCGCCGTAGTATAACAGGTGCTTAGTTTGGAGACCCCCCACCACCACCACGCACACCCCGCAGGTGCAGGATTGGGCTCGTGTGTTCTGAACTCCGATGGTTTGAATAATTGGATTTGAAATAAAAATATTTAGTTCAGCTTGGTTTTTCTTTCTTTCTTTTTTTTTTTACAAGCATTTATCACATGCATGCTTTTTGCCTAGCATAGAATACATTCAAAGAAATGAGAGTTGTAAAAGTGATCATAAATTTCACTCACTTTGGAGTGATTGGTTTACATCTGAAACTAGTATGAGGCTGAATAAACCACATGGTGGAATGAAGCTAAGCTTGCTGCCTACCTGGGCTCTAAGCCTCGATCCGCCATCCCACTGGTTTTCTTAAAGGCCCCTCTACTACTATTTGAGCATACTTGTAGTTTACTTGCTAATAAGAGTTGCTACTACCTCGACCAACTTAATGATTTCTTTCCCCCATCAAACTCTATCTTACATAGTTGTTATTTGCTTAGTTGACAGGCATCCCTGACTGTGACAAGTAGTTCATTCATATCAACAACTATATAAGGAGCACTTACTCTGCACCAGACATCGACTACTTTATACACTCGCACCTTTCCCTTAAAAGTCACCAGAGAAAAAAATAAAAGTACAGCTGCCCGGCCGATGTGGCTCAGTGGTTGAGCATCGACCCATGCACCAAGAGGTCGCTGATTCATTTCCCAGTCAGGGCACATGCCCAGGTTGTGGGCCAAATCCCCTGTAGAGGGCATGCAGGAGGTGGCCAATTGATGTTCTCTCTCATTGATGTTTCTCTCTCTCCCTCTCCGTTCCTCTCTCTGTAAAATCAAAAGAGACAAAAAAAATTTTTTTTAAAGTAAACATACAACAGAGTTTTCTACCCACTCAGTGGAGAGTGTTAGGTGTCTTGTGCATGGCCTGTGGTAGATTTGCTGAGTAGCCAGTGACTGAAGATTCATAGATGTAAACGTTTGGAATAAGCACAGACACCATCGATTATAGTTTGCAAACTCCTTCATGTACTGCTAGGGCTTCCAGAATTGCTTGATTCTCAGTTCATTTTTCTTTTTCTTTTTTTTTGTGGTACATGGCCCTAGCAAGAACTGAACCCGGGACTCTCTGGTCCGCAGGCCGACGCTCAACTGCTGAGCCAAACTGGCCAGGGCCTCAGTTCATTTTTCAAAAAATAAATTTAACTATTTAAAAACGTACAATAAAGAACAATACTTGCACTCAAAAATATTATGTCAGGTTTTAACATATTGGAAAACACCAAATTGATTTGGTTTTCTGCAGAACTTACACTAAAAGTCTTCCATCAACACAATTTAACTGAGAAATATCCTGAAATGGCAGATTGAGTTGTTCTAAGTTGTTATCATTTACTATTTGTATAAGTCAAAAATTTTCAATAGTGTGGAACCAAAAACCCACAGAAAAAGTTAGATGCTTTAGCCAATAATTTTCTGTTCATCTTAATAGTCTCTATGAGTCCCATGAACTTATTTTTAACCATCATATACTTGAACTTACACAGTCTATGCTTAATAAAATCCTGATTTCATCTGCCATATTGGCAAGGTCTTGTTGGAAAAAAAGAAAAATAATTCGACTTAAAAGTTTTGAAAACTACAAATCTAGATCAGCCTACTTTCCAATATAGGCATTTTCTTGACCAGCATTCCTGACAAAAAGATTATCTCGGCTCCTCTTGATCACAGCCATGCAGTCACGCGGGCACCCATAGGCAGAGCAGCCATGCAGTCACGCGGGCACCCATGGGCAGAGCAGCCATGCAGTCACGCGGGCACCCATGGGCAGAGCAGCCATGCAGTCACGCGGGCACCCATGGGCAGAGCAGCCATGCAGTCACGCGGGCACCCATGGGCAGAGCAGCCATGCAGTCACGCGGGCACCCATGGGCAGAGCAGCCATGCAGTCACGCGGGCACCCATGGGCAGAGCAGCCATGCAGTCACACGGGCACCCATGGGCAGAGCAGCCATGCAGTCACACGGGCACCCATGGGCAGAGCTGCCGTGCACCAGCTGCATTTTCTGAGGCTGCACTATAGCATCATGAGACTCTGCATTATCTCACTTATCCACCTCCCCATCCTTGTGCCATAAAGCTTAGTCCAGAGAGCATAGTAACTTATTCAAGGTCACAGGATTTTGTATAATGGAGCTGGAATTGAAGCATAGGTCTGTTTGACTAAAAAACTCTCTCTCTCTCTCTCTCTCTCTCTCTCTCTCTCTCTCACACACACACACACACACACACACACGGACTTGAGTCGATTCCCAGGAACTTCATTAGCCTGTTAATAGAATGTGTTTATATCCTACATCTCCCATTAGGAAATGACCAGAGTCTGATCTTGATGTTGTCACTTTCCTGGAATCTCTCTTCCTTTTTAGATTTAAAAAAATTTCTCAGAACACCCAATAACTCTTCATTTAAGCTCATTTTTTATTGTTGCTTCTAAATGCTTAATACCACTGAGGTTTCCAGCGAACGTGGAGGGTCTGACATGAGGTCAGACCACAGTCTGCTCCTCGTGAGATAGGATCTTCAGGAACATCTTGAAGGAGTTGTTCCAGATTGGGTTCCCTAGGAAACAGACTCTGAGACAGAGACTGGCACGCAGGAAGCTCAACAGCTGTGGGGAGAGGGGAAGGGAGGGGGACCGGCAAGAGGAGAAGCTGGGCTGCCGTCTCAACAACGGCCTCCTCCAGCTCCGGGGACCTCACAGTTGCCCCAGTTGGGGTGGGGAGGACACTGGGCGTGGTCTTCCCAGGAAGGGGGGAGTATCCATGGCTGGGAAGCCCTTTCAAGCCCAGGTGACAATTGAGGGCTAATGTTGCCAGCACTCCCAGGAGCTAGAGGGACAGTCCCAGCACCTGGGGCCCCCTGGGTGACAGGCAGAGGGTTTAATGCAAGAATCCTTGGGGTTTAGATAAAAATCACGAACGTAAGTGTGCAGAGAACCTGGGAGGTCTTCTAGCCAAGCCTCTGGTTTCTCAGGTCAGGAATCTGGCTTCAAGAGGCGGAAGGATGCAATAATGAGGGTGTTTGCAGACACAAAGCCGTTCGCAGACCTCTTCCCTCTCACTCCCCCTACACTGCCCGAGGGGAATCTAAAGGCCCCACTAGCTGGTGTTCCTTGCAGACTCCGTTCTGACCAAAAAGATGAAGAGGAAGGCTCACTGAAGCTTCTGGGCATGTCTGTGATTGGTGCTCACCTGCATCCACCCTTCCCCTCTTGCTACCGGGTGCAGTGCAGCAGTCACACTGCCACCGAGAAGTCCACCCGCACCCCGAAGCTGAGCAGGAAGGAAGGAGGAGGGCAGCTGTAAACGCGTACCTCTGGATGTCTTGTTCGGTGGGAAAAATAAACTCCTGCCCCTTTAAGACGAGGAAACATTATTTCTGCTACTTGAAGTGGAACACATTCCTAACCGATCATGACAAACGCTTAGGCTAGATTCACATCAGGACTTGCTCTGTGCCAGGCACGTCACTCAGCACTCTGTATGCATTTCCCTAGTTTTACCTCCATGAGGAAATGTAAGTTTTTGACCCAATTCTAAGCTCATCAACTTAGAGAATTTAAGT